TAGTAACATTGCATCCTCCAATATTTACCTACGGCTAGTTTCCAGAGAATTATTTATTAATTATTTATAATATTTTATAATATTTATTATAATAAATAATATATATTGATATATATATTAATATATAAATATATATAATTATTTATTAATTTTCTGCGAAATGTCGTCGACGAAACCTCTAGCTAGATCTTTTATTATTGTTTACTAGGATATGCATTCCTGAAACGAACGAATCTCTGAGTTTCGAAATCTCCTCTTTGAACGTGTCAACTAATCTGTAACTGGTTCCATTGGTTACTGCCATTTCTGTAACGCACGTGGGTACCAGAAACGCTTCCTACAGCGGCATGCTGAAATACCAAATTCTTTCCGAATATATGCGATATTTGCTTAAAAATGGCAAAGACCATTCTTGACCTTTCGTTTATGGTCCCACTGAAGGTCATTTCCTGACAATTTACCGACTTGCTTAATATTTACTCGAGAAACCCAACGAGAGAATAGCAGAGACTGGCAGAAGAGAATAGCAAGCTATATATCGTGATTATTCTTAATGCTTCGACTCTGATAAATATTTATAAGAGGTGTAACTTGAACGGTTCGAACGGTTCGACGCGGTATTTGCTTCTCCTCGATATTTTATCTCGCGTCTTAAATTAAACGTAGAATATTTCGATGCAAGATTTCCCATTGAAACGTATACCCTGTGCGTAGTTTAAGGGTGATTCACGCCATTAGCATCGTCTATTGTCCTATGATTCGATTGTATCATCGAGTATTGTTGACACATATACTCGTACATGAAAGCATTCGAAAATATTGATGAAATATAAATACGTAAAATGGAAGTATTTACAACGAGTACATTCGGTGTAGAAAATAAAATACAGATGTATATATTCAATGCAAAATATATACATATTATATCCAATACTATATCCGCACTGTATATACTATATCCAATATTATATCCACACTATATATACTATATCCAATATTATATCCGCACCATATATACTATATCCAATACTATGTCCACACTATATATACTATATCTGCACTATATATAGTATATCGAATGCTATATCCACACTATATATACTATATCCAATATTATATCCATACTATATATAGTATATCCAATACTATGTCTACACCATATATACTATATCCAATATTATGTTTACCCTATATATACTATATCCTCACTATATATACTATATCCACACTATATATAATATATCCAAGCTATGTCCACACTATATATATTATATCCAATATATATACTTGTCAAATGTAGCAAGCGTTTAAAAACTTTCGCGTATGAGTGTATGTCTGGTTTAACACGATGATACACTCGATGATACACACCGGTACGTTGATATATTATCCGCAGATGGCAAGAATTTTTCAAATATTCACATGGAAATTTTCTTTATTAAAATCACCTATTTTTTTAAGGTACATAGCCATAGCAAAATGAATATACATTTCGCAGATCATCCAATAATAAAGGCTACATTTCTAATAATAACGACCACTTCTAAAATTCCGCTGTTTAATGTTCATCGTTACACTGTGCAGTCTTCTACTTTGAATTTATTCATCCCGAAGCATCCATCTTAATTAACGTAACTGTAAACCTATAAACATATGAATATGATCGTTTTATCCACGTTGATCACGATCCCGGTGAATACACTGTTTCATCTACTCTGTCTCCTGTCCGGGATCAAAGGTATCTGTAGACCTGATCTAAACGGTGTCAAAATTTTATCCAAACTGGATTTGCAATATTATATCGATATTTTTTTATCTTTGAAGCGTTTTTCGGGCTCGATAATCATAATACAATGTTCCTAAGAATACTATGATCAACGAAAACGTTACAATGATATTCGCCAGCGAATGGCAAATATTATAAAATCCACGCTGCATCGCCAAGTGACTTAATTATTACGTGCTAGGTTGAATCGCAAGTACCTAGTGTGTACGCTGGATCAGACCTTGTGCATAATGCAATAGTGGGAATCCGGCGTACGTAGCATGATGGAACTGGTATTATTTTAACCAGATCATGTACACTTTGCCGCAAGACTATCACGATAATTGCCCTAACGTCTCGATTCTTTATCTCGCTGTAATCGCTTTAACGTGTCTGTAACTTTACACACAAAGGAACGCGGATTTTAAACAGATCATCGCGATATTTATCTAAACTTACATGGAAATATTATACAAAGTCTGGCCGAATAACGCGAAAAGTGAAAAGTTTAGGATCAGTGTTCGAGGAAACTGTATTTCAAATCGCGGTTCGTTCCGCGAAGTATAACAAGTATAGCATTTATAAACTACGTTTACACGGTATTTGTAAGCTATTAGGATTGCGAAAAGAGTGCACAGGAAATTTGTAGCAATTTCTATTTTACGGTACCCGTGGAATTCTTGTTTTGACAGTGCTTGTCAAATTATTACTGACAATGCGATATATTTTATGCATTATTCGGGTAGTCTTGGAATTTATCAGTTTCCAACTTCGGAGATGGTGGCTGTACCTCAGCAGATGCCCAGAGTTCAAGAGTCTTGGTCACGGTGATTAAATTCGAATTTATGCAACGAATATTCCGAATATTATATCAATAAGTCAACGTTTCGCGATGCCACTTACCCAGATCACTGACAGATCGAGAGAAATAGGAGGTCCTGGCAGCTAGCGAAGGACTCACGCGAACATGACCAGGACGAGGGCTGGAGACTAGTCGCGTATAGAAGGAGCAGCTCCTCTCACAGGTAAGCTCACAGCACTTGGCCACTTGGCGTGGCTGTCTAACCGGTACTGTACGGTCGAGACGATCCAGAAAGGATCGGCTAGCGAAGAGCAGGGCACGCGAGTGCTGCCTCTGTCTTCGGCTGATGTTCGCTGGGGAACCACGTTGGAGTCCCCCTCCTTGGGCTCTTTCTTCCTTTCCTCTTTGCCTCTCTCGATGCTCCGTTACTCCTTCCGCTTACGTGCGACTGCCTTATCGGATCGTGCCTTCGATCGACAGCAGAGTTGGATCGACTGGTATCGGGCACGGCTGGAACGGTCATCAGCCGTCACGGTTGACGATCCGGTCGTTCTCGATCGTGCTTAACGAGAGTGATTATGAATGACAGGAGTGGCGATTTAGCAAAGGAACAGCTTCTTCACTGAGTGCTCTTGTGAAGCTGAGATCACGTAAGGCATTCCGGGGACGGGTTCTCGTTCTGTATGCCCAAAAGTTGTCAAGCGACTTCGGGTACACGAGTATTGGCACAGAGTTTTCGATCAAAGGCGGTGGTATTTATTCTGATAATAAACTGTGAGAGGGCTGTAGAAAAATTATTGGAGCTTCGATTATAGGCTTTACATACTTCTTTTAATGCTTTGACTGACACGTTGGTCATGTATGACCGGTCACGGTTTCTCTTGTGACGTCACGGTGGTCATTGGTGGCCGCAGAACTTGAACTACTTACAATTGTAAAAATTCAATGGAAATTGACAGTTAGTGCATTTTGAACCGTTACCGAAGCTAAATACGATAAACGCTCCATTGGGTAAGAATGTTGTCTTGTATCACCAATTTATTATTATTTTGCCATTATATGCTTGGAATAATAAAAATACAAATTGACAATGGTCACTCGTGACTGACAATAAGATAAACGCTTCATTGGGTAAGAATGTTGTCTTGTATCGCCAATTTATTATTATTTTGCCATTATATGCTTGGAATAATAAAAATACAAATTGACAGTGACAGTGACAGTGACAGTGAAAGGGTTAACAAATAATTTCGTCGCCTGTCTGGCTGTTATTTATATATTGTCGCTCGTCGGCCATTGTTCTTTCGCCTGTATAATGTTTTCCACGACTACTCGTCGGCCCTCACCAAGTCGCGGACGACGGGCCCACGATCCTTCTCGATGTTCAGCCTAATTTATTTTACAAAACCAAAATTGAAATTACCTTTTGCCAATTTTACCTTGGGCCAGATATAAATTTAATATCGCTTTATATTTTAAAAATTGCAGTAATTTTGGGTGATCCCGTATCACAGCGTTTGACCAAAAATTTGTTGTCAAGGATAATATTTTAGAAGATTAATCGAAGGAATTCGTTGTTACCCTCGAATTAAAAGGAATGCAATCGTATCTTTGATCCGCTGGCAATCAACTTAAATTTTTCCTCGTGTGCAAACAGTTTTACCAATTTTACTTTGAGCCAGACAAATTTAATATCGCTTTATATTTAAAAAATTGCAATAATTTTGGGTGATCCCGTGTCACACGTATTTGACTGAAAATTTGTTGTCAAGGATAATATTTTAGAAGATTAATCAAAGGAGTTGGTTGTTACACTCGAATTAAAAGGAATACAATCGTATCTTTGATTCGCTGGCAATCAACGTAAATTTTGCCTCGTGTGCGACCAGTGATTAGGCCAGTTCTGATATTAGATATTTTGCATACGTTAAGTACATGGATTTATGCACTTCACAGTGGAGATTATGTTTCCTATGATATTTCATTGAAATGATTGAATTTGCATAATTAGCCGTGGGTTAGACTGAATTACGCGTTTCACAGTTCTGCATACCGTTACTCTCCCCGCCGATGTATTTTCCGCCGCCTTCGTCTTTCATTTTCCATAACTGTACAGCTCGGCTGGCTCTTTTGCCCGGGAAAAAACGAAACAGAGTGATAATAACACGAGCAGAACATCGCGTGTGTTATGAACAACGTCGGAATATTAATTAAATCACGTGTTAATTGAGGTACGGGATCAAACGTGCAAACACCGCGCTATACCGAGTGTTTCCAAAATCGTGGAGCTATTTTTGAAACAACGATTTCTCGTGGATAAATAAAGCGGAGAAATGGAAGAATATTTTTCCACTCGGAGTTCCATTTCTATTTGTGTTTGCATTTGTATCCGTATTTATCGTTGCTACTATCACGCTTGCTGTTTATTCGCATTATCGGTCATACCTAAATCGAGGACATACACCCGTGATCCTGGCTCGAAGAAGTACCGATCTCATCCCTATTTATGAAACCATCCAAGTGATATATAGAGCAAAAAGAAAGAGAAAAATAATAGAAACCCAGATGGCGAAAATAAGACAATAAGAGTAACAGTTAATAATACCAACACGAGGAAAAACAGAAGTCTTACAAGTCGAAGCATACGGTTTAATACGCGAATACCTGAATACAATTTTAAAATTCATTTTCCTCAGAAGTGGATATAGTCAATAAAAATATATTTATTTATTTATTTATTTAGTCGTTAAACGGGATAGATCTTAGCTAGCTTAGAAGAGGAAATAGAAATACGATATAGGATATAAAGAAATATATAAAAAGATAATATAATTTCTTTTCTTCGATTTAGTCTTTTATCTAGAATCATAATTCGGCGCTATCACGATTTTAGGGACACCCTGTAGAGGCGATAGAACGCAAACTGTCTTTAATTAGAATTTCGATGAATTCGGTTATACATTTATTACATGAAAACAATCATTAGAAATGTTTCACGCTGTATTTATGAACCGTTTCGTCGCATTTATTACAGCAAAGTGATTAAACTTTCTAGCAGGATGATTTATTGGCGAAACTCAATAGCACATGTGGATTCGTGCGAATTTTCTTGATGGCAAGTTATTAGGCTATGACTGCGACACGTTATATCGGACAGTTTCTTATCTAATTCCGCGTACCAAGTAGCGCATCAATGTTCGCAAATGAGAAACGGCGGCAAGGAAATACGATTAAAATTCTGTCTTCGAAAAATCATTTCACGATGTAATTTGTTGCATTGGAAGGAGCTGGGTAACAATTAAAACGTAGGCAAAATAAAACTTGTCGTATCGCAACAGAGGTTAAAGGCATTATTTTAGAAATCCTTCAGGGAGCACGTCTGACAGGGTCTCTTCTCGACAACCGAACTCGAATTTTTTGAAAAATTGGAAAAATTCTTGGAAAAAATCTTGGAAAAAGTCGGAAAAATTCTTGGAAAAATTCTTGGAAAAATTCTTCGAAAAGTTCTTGAAAAAATTCTTGGAAAAACTCTTGGAAAAGTTATTGTAAAAATTCTTGGGAAAATTCTTGGAAAAATTCTTGGAAAAGTTATTGGAAAAGTTCTTGGAAAAATTCTTGGGAAAAATCTTGAAAAAGTTCTTGGAAAAATTCTCCCACTACATCTAGGTCCTTTCAGGCCACGCCATAAATTTCCTACGTCCATTTCAACACGTGTCCTGCATCGCGTCCCGATAATTTCTTACAAAATCTTCGCTCGTATTCGTACAATTTGTCTCGCGCTTTACCGTTTCGAAGAGGAACGATGGACAGGTCTTAGGAAACATGGTGGGCTGTATTTGATAAGCAAGATTAATTTGCGTCAATCGGATGTGTACACGTGAAAGTTGCACGAGCTAATATAAATGTTCTACCACCTCGGTTTATCACTTAGTAAAATATCGCGCGGTTAACATCTAAGAAAGACACATAATTCACGCGATTACTATGATACGCCTATTATCTACTGTTTGCATACTTTTTGTGTAAACTTGGCAGCACAGCTGGGTAAAATACTATTCTAAGTGCTACGGTAAACGTACGTGGATTTTTGAAAATAAAATATTTAATTTGCTGGAGACAGGGCCGACACGACTTTTCGCGGGGCCGGGTTCAAAAATTTTGGGAAACCAGAATACACGTTTAACACTAGATTTACGGAACCCGTATATTTGACGGAGTCTATTCTAAGTGCTACGGTAAACGTACGTGGATTTTTGAAAATAAAATATTTAATTTGCTGGAGACAGGGCCGACACGACTTTTCGCGGGGCCGGGTTCAAAAATTTTGGGAAGCCAGAATACACGTTTAACACTAGATTTACGGAACCCGTATATTTGACGCAAGGGTTGTTCCAATTATACGATGGTAACAGATTTAGTTAACTTTAGTTATATTAAGACTGTTAATATAATATATAATTGTTTTTAAATTAAACTAATCGTTAGAAGAAAAGGCACGTGAATTTCTTTACCTGCCAATTTGACAGGTGTCCTTAGAAATAGGTATACAGGTAGCGTCCGTAAACTTAGTGTTAAATCCGATATGGTATCGGTAAATGGTATGGTATCGTCATTCTCTATGAAGTTAATCAAAATCGGTATTTTCTAAGTGGGTGGTTTCCTTAACACCTAATATCTTCCGCACCCGTGTTGCAGTCGTATCAGCCTTCGATGTCAACGTTTAATGTCAACGTTTAGAACACGCTACAACGAAATATTTCCATGCAATGATGGCAGAGAAAATCTTGCACTCGTCTCAGTGTACAGCAAGCTATACCATATCCAATTAATTCATAATCGATTAATGGATTATGCGATTGTATTTTCTACACACACCCGAATATTCAATCTACTATACTGGGGGTTTTGCAAAATTTCTGATGAGTTTTCGCAGACCGAGGGGCCTTTCAAAATATGGAGCCGGGTTCCGGTGAACGTGCTGAACTTGCCTTGCGCCGGTCCTGGCTAGAGGAATGTACTTTTGAAATTTAAATATATGGTTTATTAGAAAAATTATTATTTGGAGTATTTTGTATATTTAATTTGCAATTACTTGCAAATATCGCGACTTTTGCTTTGTTATCTCGGTTTACATTGTGCTAATCATTCTCATGATTTATATTCGGATTAGGAGATAGAGATAAAAATATTTTATTATATTCTTGAGACTGTTGTAATAAAATATTTTATTAGGTAAAATATAATTTCTTATTTCAACTGTGAAAATCTATTATTTAA